AATATGCCGACTAAATTGCCGAATAAGCCAAATAAGTTTCATGAATAATGTTGGATTAATGTAGAATAATGTTTCCAAATAAAGGTATGCACTGTCGAATAATGTTACTCTACTACCGAAAACTACTTGGCCCAAGAAATCGACATTTCTCTAGCTGTTGATGATTGGGATGTGGAGCTTGGTGCCGAGTGGAGCTTGGTGTCGAATAAATTATTGATGTTTATATTGTGCTAAATAAACTTGTGATGTTCATATATTCTTTCCGGAAAAATATACTCTGAAAGTCGGCACCTTTAAGGAGTTGTATATATATACTCTGAAAGTTGCAAAAATATTGTGACCGAATCAAAGAAATTCAAGTTGTGGGTGCTGCCCCAAGTAACAGTAGATGGCATGAATGATCGGTGAAGATGAATAATTGTGGCTTAGCTCCTGGAGCCTGCTGTCAAAATTTTATGCTAATCGGACATGATTTGACCATTGATCTATCATTTAACATCCCCGATTTTCCAGTTTATTGATCCCAATCTAATACTCGAAATTCACAAAATTGGACTTCAAAAATGGATTCTACACGGCAAAAACCTTGAGGGTGTTCATGGTTGAAGTTATCAGACCACCTGATTAACCCGAACGCGCTAAGATGCAACGGAGCACCTTGTGCCGAGAAGCGCACAATAAATCCTAATGTCATCTCCTTCATGTAGCAGGTCGTGAAATGCAGAATTTTTAGATTCAAACTCTTGACTTTGAGCCCCTGTATCTCCCTCGTTTTAAGTTCGATTGCCCTCATTTTTGCGGCGTTGGATTCATCACTCGGCCTAGTGTGTATTCCGCTAGTCAGACGCGTCATTCCACCTTGGATTGGATGTCATTGGACCTCTGAAAGTTGACCAAAAATAAGATTGGTCAGTCCTTTTGTTGTGTCCGTGTGTGTTCGGCTCGGCGATGTTGCGGAGTAATTAATGGTATGGTTGCGCAATGGTTGGAAGGCAAATCTTGGCACTTTGATTTGCCAAATCACTTGGTCGTCAACGACTCCACCTTTGGCTCGCCAAAAATTAAAGATTGCCGATAACAATGCTAGAAAGAGAAAGCTATGGTCAGCCTATAATGCCTTGTCTGTGAGCCGAACAAAACAAGTAACAAATAAAGGTGCTATTGCCGTTTGATGGGCAACCCGAATAAAGTGCCGAATAATCACTATCGATGTAAAATATTGACCCAGTATGCTGTCGAATTCTAGAGAGAAAGTATTGACCCAGTATGTAATTCATGTTGTCTTGTGAATAAAGTAACCCATGATGCATTGAAGTAACAAGTGAATGACTTGGATGCCGATTTCAAATGCGAGTAACTCGTGCCCGATATTTGGCTTGTAGTGGTGCTGTTCTTCTTATCCTTGTGCTCATAGATCACGTTAGTTAGGAAGTTGGTACATACTCAGCAAAGTTTTGAGCTTGATTTTTGCTCAGTCGACTGTGCAACTTGGTGTGAAATACCTGGCGAAGTCGATTCGGTGTTAGCCAACGTATTAACCGAATTGCGCGCCACAGTGGCTAGAATTGATTTAATGAAGTTTCATTCTTAAGTCATTTCCAGAGGATGAAATGTCCACTAACATATATGCTTTGATAAAAAGAGAACCACACTAGATTTGGTTCTCGGCACCACGGTTGTAAATTGAAGATATATGCACTGCATGGTTATCATTGCTGATGAGCTTGATGATGGAATTAGTGTGAATTAGGCAAGTTGATAACTATCTGGCATTGCCGAGTGACCCATGGTGAAGTGGCCAAGAGGTGCTATGGTGTCATCGTTGGGATTTATCAATATAATTCAGCGCTATGATGTTGCCGAGTAGGCGTGGTTGTAATAGCTGGATCTTGAGTTTGTAAGCTTATGATCACTACATAAGGATTTTGTGGATGACTCAGCAAGCTTGTTATGTGTGCCAATCAATTTCTGCCCAGAATGTAGGGGCTTTTCGATATACCGAAACTCTTGGTTGGCAACTTCTCTTAGCTTCACGGTGTGCCGAAACACTTGGTCAGCATCTCTTTGTATTTGGCTTTGCTAAGAAAGTGGTCGGCAAGACTTCTTTATGCGTACAACACCTTTGATCTTCAGTTTTGTAGAGATTTTGGTCGGCATCAACATGAGCCATTAGAGAAAAAGTGAACCCAACTTGTTTAGCATAGGTACACGTGCGTACAAATGAAAAATCAATTTCAAGATAGTTTTTATGAAACAAAGAATAAATAAATAAATAGACTCATGTATTGATTTAGCCGAGCAACTGTATTGAATTGCCGAAAAGATGTTCGTACCAATAAAAGTGTGAAACCTATTTTTAGAGAGAGAAAATGGAGATATAAAAGTAGACCCATGAATTCTATTTTGTGTTAACACTTTTCAATCAATATTCCAAATAAACAAAAGTTTCCACAAAGTTTGTATGCAGACATAACGTATATACAATTCAAGAACCCATTTAATCAGAGAGAAAATAGATTACCATCACAGTGTTGTTGAAATTTTTTTTACTTACAGTACCATGTTTGCAATTACCTTTGTTGACCTCTTTAAGACAATTCCCACAGACAGCGCCAATTGTGAGATCATGAAATATCATCTCACATGGATTGTAGAGCTCCAACGAAAAGATGAACTTTGTCCCTGTGTATCTGCAAAGATGAGCATGATCGGCGCCACCCAACCGAGGGTTGCTGGCCAGAGACACTCCGATGGTAAAGTTAGTCCTTTGATTGAAAGAATGAAGCTATAGAAATCAAGAATGTTGGTGTGCAGTGTAGGGAGAGAGAACCTACCCACGTCTCTGGGATGCCCCCCTCTTTATATAGATGAGGGGGTCTGATATTTGTTTAGGTTAGACCCATTGTAGGCCTTGTTTGGTTTAGTCCCAATAAGCTGATATATATTTTTTTTTTTTGGCTCCCACACAGACCATACCCCGAATGCCTACCAATGGTTACATACCACATAGCACCAACCGAGGACCTCAAAAGAGACAGTAATTATATGGGTCTTTCCTCTCCTCCACCACCATGCTTTCCCTTCCTGTCATTTCATTCTCTCAACCATGGGAGTAGTGTGTGAGTGTGTATGTGTATGTGTGTGCAACAAGTGGGGAGGAGTGGTATATTTATAGAGAATTCGGTGCAAAAGTCCAAAATCCCCTTTGGTTCCAATTCAATTGAATAGTGCCACATTTAAGTTTGATTGAAATGGAATAAGGATGATTAGGACCTTAATTATATACTTAATTAAAATCTAGTTAGCTTTAGGGCCAATTAAACATTTCTAGTTAGAAGTACATATATATATATAGCAAATCTTACATTGTACCTTAGTTATTATTCCTTCCATGATTTAGGGGATTTTTGGTACTAGATGTATCTTACATGATCCTATAGTATCCTACGGGTAAGGGGGGCATCCTTGATTTGGTGGGAAAAAATGATTTATTTTGTGTACAATTGAATATATTCTATAAAGATCTTATGTACATCTCATTTATTTAAGAAAATTGGTACAAGTGTATGTATAATGGTTACTAGTTTGGAGTCAATTTGTAATTCAAATAAAATGTGAGGGCTAAGGCCATGATTTATGAATTGGAACATTTATTTAAGAGTAGTATTTAATTAAATTAGGATTTGGGAATTCAATTCGATTAAAGTGTCTTTATTTTGAATTAAACGGTGAATTGTACTAAGAACCGGAAACATAAGGTTTTTGAGTAGAAATTATAATTAGGGAATTAATTTACTTTTTATTAGTAGAGCTTTGGAAATGAACCCTGAGTTTTCAAGTTTAATTAAGGTTTGCGAGTTTTCGGTTGGCGTGCACTTTTGACTCTATAACTGAAATTGAAAACAAATAAGGAATCGAGGGTTTTTTTTTTCCAAAAGTGAGAGTCTAGAATAAAATTACCAAGATCAAGGGCTTCACAATTAATATTAGGGTGTCAGAATTGGTTACCAAGCTAGCAGGGTTGATTAGGGTTTGTACAGGTTCGTTTATGACCACGTTTTCAGTTTTGGGGTTAATTTTGTGAATTAAAGCGAAACTAAGGGCTTTATTATAAAATCTTAAAAGTTAGGGACTTAATAGGGTTTACAAAAGTTAGGGGCCTTATAACCTATCCCCCCTTAAAAAAAAAATTCCATCCTCGAAATTTCTGCCATTCTTCATGTCATGAATTCTTGTGGTTATTTGTTCGCATTGCATCCTTGCACTCCTAGGTAGATCCCATCAACGTATATTAATTATTCGGATCCTCTTCTTCTCTTAGGTTCTTGTCCAGAGCCACCATTAGTTTCGTTCTAATAATAGTGTTTTGAATTGAATTTCTTTTCGTTTAATGATGCAAAGAGGTGCGTTAATCTTCTATGTTCCTTGAAAATTCTAAATTGCTTGTCGTACAGGTAATGATATTGCTGCTTCAATGTGAGGGCTCGTATTGCCAATTTCTTGATGTGGTGATGTATGCTTTCCTTTGGTAATTTGTGGATGCCATTGCGTTTATCGATTCGTTAAATTATGGAAACTAATCTATCCCCTTTAAATAATAAAAGTGTTGTGTTGGATGGGTAAATCATCTCATTCTTTTGGTAACTATTGATAATAGCTAAGGTACAAGTAACGAATCTATTTCTAGGATGTAGTTGATATCGGGTATCTTCATATTTTGGGAATTGAGAATTATCACACAAACAATTTCTAAGGGTCCACATACAAGTTCTAATGGTCCGATATAGCATAGTTATGATGGAATGTGATGAATAAAACATGTACTTAAGAATTATGAAGATGAGTGTAAAATTATCAAGACTTGGATTAATTAAAGAGAATTTTGCACATTCACGCTCTGATTACAGAATTCCTTCCATGGAGTTCTAACTACTATCCTAGTTACATTTTCCTAGGTTATCCATGGCTCATACTGTGGTTCCTCGGGTTCATATGCAGCATATTGTTCATACTCTAGATGCACCGCGGTGGGATTTTCTTCTTCTTCTAGTGCAAATACTCTGCCAATTGACCTTTGGTTAGTGACCTTCCGAGAGTGCCCACTAGTGATTGGTTTCATCATCCAATTCATATACGGCTAGGGCAATCTGATCGACATGTTCAATGATTCCCATTGTGTTTAGCATCTTTTCAATCTGGCGGAGCCTATTCTCTACTACCCTTGGATCAGGTACTCCAATGAAGTGGTCTATGTTTCCTAAATTCATAAAAGAGGTGGGTTCTATTATTCCTCCTTTTCTCTCTTAACTATCCCAGTTCTTTCAAAATTTGATGCCCCAGATGGTTAATGGAATGATTACGAAGTGGAGATGGAAGAGTATGAAGTGGTAATAGCATCAATTAATACAAGGATCATCTAGAATACGGATAAAAGATGACATTATGGTGTCAATGTGGTCATTGTTATAAAGGTAGTGACTAAGCTAGATATTTAACTTGAAACTACGTTGGCTATACACGTTTCAAACTGACTATCCAAGATTCGTCACTAAGTAAAGAAAATGAAATCATTTACAAGAAGCCTTGTGCTAAATAGAATAAGGAGGTCATGAATTATTCAGGAAAATGATGACATCGAATAAAGGTTATGAATATAAGGTAAGGGTACGATGATCGATAGAAGATGTGTAGAACTAATAGTACCCCTGCTGCGCGACATGATGCCTTACTCAAAGTTGAAACTACTTTTTGTAGGTGATCGTCAAATCGTAACGCAATGATTCCAACTCTGAAATACGTCCACATGAGTCAATATTGCTATGCTCAGAATCCAAAGAACCATCCTAAGGTAAGAATATTTCAATTTTTTATTTATTTATTTATTTTTTTCTAACTTTTAATTGATAGGATAGATAATGTTATAGTAATATAATATAGTCAAGTAAGGAAGTTTCTAACTGTGATCGAAATGCGTGGGTAAGGGTTGAACCTACGCTCTAATATAAAGTTGTGACACTCGAAAAATCAGGAACATTAGAGTATATATTAGCAAATAAATACAGGGTTATCTAAGATTACAAGAGAAGGAAACGTCACTAATGAGTCCTTTGGTTAATAACCAAGTAAGATCCCAGAAAGGTCGGAGGAGTCAATATAATCTCCCTTCAAAGTCCAACCACCTTAGATAAAAAAGTTACCCTTTTGACAGATCTTAACAACGTAATAACACAAGGTCTACATGAGTCGACAAGAAAATAAGGAATAGGTAATACAAAAGATGTGTTTAGATATGTAACAATTACAAAATCATGTTTTAAATAAAACAATGGATTTATCACTTACAATCTCAAAACATGTTCACAAAACTAGTATCTAAATCTCCTTAGGTAGCCAAACGTCCTCAATGCTCCAGCTTTTCCTTTGACCGGTCAAATAGTCTTTAGTACCTGGCATGAAACACCATGAGCTTTTGAATATCCAATAAACACACACACACCACATCCATTTTTCCCAATCCAATACACCATCACAATTGTAACAGGCAAGTAATGAAGCATTATATTCATGTCAATAACAAATGATTACAAGGTTAGATGTTAATCCCCCAAAGAGATTTCATCCTCCAAACCACAAGAATTGGACTCGAATTATTTGGTATGCCCCCTCTTTTGCTGCTTTGCAGACCTCACCCTAGATGCCTACCAACAGTTACATACTGCGTAACGCCAACCGAGGACCTCAATAGAGACGATAATAATAAGGGTTTGCCTATAACCTCCTCCAACCTTATCCGGCATAAGCACCTAGGGCCCGAATACAACTGATCCATTTAAAGGTTCCGAAACAACCACTTCCGCAAGACTTTTCTTCCAACTAGGGAACACGTCCCATCAATCCATACTTAACACATTATCATCTCTTCATTACTCAAGTGATCGAAAACCCAATACCACCCCAATTAAGTTTGCCATTGAGTTAAATGTTTTAAGTTAAAGTTAGAACAAACTTTTCAAGACAATCACATAAACATAAGCATCATCAAAGGACTATGATAGAAATAGAACTATAACACATGCAAATATCATACCAAGATATGAACTAGTGATAACAAGCTCATCGTTGAACTTAAAAACACAATTTTATCAACAAAAGTGAATTTGCTAATTTGATGCATTTTAAAGATTGCAATTAAATAGACACTTTTAGATTTTTCCTAAACTTTTGACTTCCTATGGTTTGTAGAGAATTTTATCTAGTTTTCAGAACATCTTTTATAAGTTTCATAGCTTTTCTAGATTTTTAGTTATTTAAGAAATGCTCCAGCACTGTCCAAATTTGTCGACTGTTACGAAAGTTGGGTTTTATCTCAAACAACTCATTCTTTTTTGATGATTTATTTTTTTCATGAAAATGACACTTAAAGGAAGCTTTTGACTTAAAAGACTTAAAGGAGATTTTTCTATATTTTTCTGGAATGTTCATAATTTGGCTAAAAAATCGATTCTTTCAGCACAAAGCTTGAAATAAGAGACAAAGTAAGAAAAGATGGTAACCGCGGATAATTTTTCATTTCTTTTGTTATGAAAACATGCTAAATAATATATATTAAATTCCATGATTTAGGGGATTTTTGGTACTAGATGTATCTTACAAGATCCTATAGTATCCTGGGGGTAAGGGGGCCATCCTTGATTTGGTGGGACAAAATGATTTATTCTGTGTACAATTGAATATATTCTATAAAGAACTTATGTACAATTCATTTATTTAAGAAAATTGGTACAAGTGTATATATAATGGTTACTAATTTGGAGTCAATTTGTAATTCAAATAAAATGTGAGGGCTAAGGCTATGATTTATGAATTGGAACGTTTATTTACGTGTAGTATTTAATTAAATTAGGATTTGGGAATTCAATTCAGTTAAAGTTTCTTTATTTTGAATTAAACGGCAAATTGTACTGAGAACCAAAAACTTAGGGTTTTTGAGCAGCAATTATAATTAGGGAATTATTTTAACTATTATCATTAGAGCTATGGAAATGATCCCCGAGTTCCTAGGTTTAATCAGGGTTTGCAAGTTTTCAGTCGGCGTGCGTTTTTTATTCTACAGATAAAATTGAAAACAAATATGAAATCGAGGGTTTTTTTCAAAAGTGAGAGTCTAGAATAAAATTACCAAGGTCGGGGGCCTCATAGTTAATATCAGTGTGTTAGAGTCGGTTACCAAGCTATCGGGGTTAATTAGGGTTTGTACGGGTTCGTTTACGATGTGTTTTTGGTTCAAAGTTAATTTTGTGAATAAACACGTAACAAGGGCTTTATTATAAAATCTCAAATGATAGGGGACTTAATGGGGTTAACAAAAGTTAGGTGCCTTGCATAAAATGACTCAAACATAGATGTCAAAAAGCCCTCACTATCTTTGGTATGCCCTGTCCTTGAAAAAGCCAAATTTCTTCATCAGCATGAGATGTACGTACGCGCCAGGGTTGTGCGCACGTACTAAAGACGTGTGGATGTACCATGCACGTGCGTAAGCACAAATGACCGAGGTATCCAGGTAAATATTCTACTCTGCACCAAGTTTCTTCATCCAAGCCCTTTCATTGAAACCCCTATCCCAATTGTCACTCTTTGTCCTCGATTCTGAGCCACGTCTTCCCGGGACAGTTTCTTGGCCTGGATGAATAGTCTAGATGGTGTTGAGCCCATCAATTTTTGTAACTACGGTCTGAACTCCATATTCTCCCTTAGAAAATTGGAGATTGACTTGTCTTTCCTTAATGCCGCCGTTCGATTTTGGGAGCCGAATATCAATGTCTTCCGATTTGTGCATTACGAACTTTGCCCTACTTTTGAAGAGTTCAAAGCTATACTAGAGTACCCTCCAAGGGCTGATTTGGTGAGACCCACTCCTCGAATAGCCTATAGCGAGGTTTACGGGTTGCTTCCTAGTAAAGCCAAGGTTTGCACTTGAAATGGTGAGCTATCAGTCACTGCTTTGATTGATAGGTTCACTAGTAGAGGACCGGAAGTTCCAAGGGTATAGATGGGCTGCTTTGTGCATTTGTCTACTTGCACAATTCTTGGTGGTGCCATGTAATGAGGTAGCCAATCCTATCTTGGTCGATGTGACCAAGCAGGTTAAAGACTGGAAGAGCTTGGTTGGGTTGGTCTTGGAAATGACCATGATTGGTTTGGACGAGGTCGATGCTGGTAAGACCACGGAATTTGGTGAGAGTCCAATATTCCTCCAAGTACCACCCATCTCACTTGGTTTGTCATCTCACACCTCTATATTTTTTTATCTCTTTTTTGTTTTTAGCACACCCCAACTTACTTTTTTCACTTATCTCACACCTTCTTATGCTTTTGTCTCTCTCTCTCTCTCTCTCTCTCTCTCTCTCTCTCTCTCTCTCAAATATGGTTTATGGGAAAATGGAAGGTGCGGGCGGCTTCTACCCTTTACTCGACAATTTCATACCATGCTCGAGCCTAGCTGGCGGCGATGGGCTCTGTTGAAAAGTGGTACGATTGGATGGGCTCCCAAACTCACAAAGACATAGTTTGGCATTCCTCTTGGTTAGCAATTCCTCTCATGACTCAAGAGATGCCCCCATTTTCGGGTGTAGAGGTGATCAGCATGACCCATATGGTCCATTATTTTCCTTGTCTGATTCTTCAACAGTTCGGACATGAGCAAGTAATTCATTTGGGTTCCCCTTTATACCCTCATTTCTTTGCTTTCTCGGCTTCTCACTTGAAGGCAAATGCCAAGGCTTGGCAAAACAGAGTTCTCATTGTCGCCGAGGAAGGCTTCATCCACAAGCTATCACAAGCATTTGTCTAGTGGCTCAAGTGCGAGATCCAGTGGATCGATACACACAAGGAGAGACCATTCAAGAAGACATGGACCGAGTTATTCTGACTTGGCTCACAGTGCCTTCAGTTTAGAGTTTAAATCCCATTTCTTTTTTCTTTTGTTTTTAGCTTCTAAAGACCTTCCTTGAAAGAGTATTGGTTAGTTTTTTCTTTCATTTGTCATGTTTGAAATTATCATCAATAAAATAGCGCAATGAAGTACATTCCTTTTGTTTTGAAAAATGTTGAATGCTTGGTCTATCGGAAAGGAACGCAAATCGTTCAATCTTCTCATTAAAAACAATCCAAATGATAATCTCTGCAAGCTCACTAGTCAGGCAATTCTATAGCCGAATCCAACGAATTGTGCCACCAGACGCTCTCTTTAAAAAGTTGGACATTCAAGTACTGACAAGTGTCGATGGACAATGAAATTTGAATGAGATGGGGCCAAACTTCAGGGTGAAGTTGTTTACGTATCTCAGGGGTGAGAATTAGGCCATTCGTAGTTCAGGATCAGGTTCATTCGAGTGTTGACTCTCTCTTTTTGTGCTCTATGTTTTTCCAAGATCGCTCTTTTTGAGTTTTCAATCTTACAAGTTTTTATTTCTTTCTTTCACTTTTTTTTTCTCTCTCTTCTGTTCTTTTTTTTTTTTTTTTTTTCCTTTTTTTTTTTCTCCCTTTTTTTTTTTTTTTTTTTTTTTTTTTTTTTGGTGTTCTAAATTTTGCCTAGGCTGCCACTTGGGGCTTTCTACCTAACAAGCTCTCAAAGGGTCAATACATTGTGTGAATTTTATCCCATTTAGATTCACTTGTACCAATAATTCCATGTTGTTCTAGTGACTTAGTTTCTGTTTGATTTGAATGCCCTTCTTGAATAACGTTTCCAAAATGATGTCAACTTTGCTCCTTCGTTTTCTTAGGGTGGAAGGTCGCTTTTTACTTTGTGTTGGGGAATGGAAAATTGCCCTAATTTGAACAATGTTTGACACTGGCCATGGGTTTGGTTTCAGGGCCTAGTAGAGTCTTTGTGCCGTGTGATCTTTGGATCAATTTCAGGCATGCCTTTATATCATGAAAAATATGTTTCTTTGAATTCCTTTTAGAAGGGCGACTAAGCACTTATGTCCCAAAAAGATAGCATGAATCCCATCTAGATCAAAGGAGGATTTTTCTTCATTACCCAAGTTTATTAATGTTATTTCATTCATTTCAAGTTTGGCTCATCTTCTCTTTTCTCATTCAATTAGATCTTTTTGAAGCTTTTGAAAAGTCATCGTCATCATATATATATATATATATATATATTAAGAAATCTCGGGATTTAATATAATCAACATTTGGCACTATGAGGTATCTGACTTTGACTCCAAAGAAAACAAATAAATCAAAAACAAAGAAGAAAATACTTGACTTGACTACTTTCGAAAGATTGAAGCATCAGAAAGTGATAGGCCAAATTTCTAACTCACTCGACTCTCTTGACTTATTTTCTTATTACTAGATCCATGAGCAAAACAAATTTACAATAGGCAGGTTCATTAGTTGGCATCTCATTACATCCACTCTGAGTTTGGTGGCATCCTCTTCTAATGCTCCCTCTAAATCATAAGTTCCCCTAAGCTATAGTGGTTAGTCTAAGTATTCAAGCCATTTTCAAAGTCAACCCATGTCACATTTGTTTTGCCCACTCCTTCCTTTTTTTCTCTTCTTCTTCGAACAAGGTCCCTATGAACTAGTCCTTGTCCATGTCTGTTTGATTTTCCTTTTCTTGGGCCTTCATGTAGCGCCACATAGTTGTGAACCTAAGTGTGTAGTGAATTTCGGTCCGTCCGGCATCTCTCGACTTCAACAATTCCCTTTCATTGTAGTAGACAATGGATGACAATTTCCTTTTCCAAGCGGTCCAGATAGATTCACGGATATCGGTTATCTCCCAATCTTCTATCTTTGAATAGCATACTTGATATGTCTTAGTCTCTTTTTCTTGCTTTTCATCTTTTACTTTGCTCTCTGTGTCATCGCCTTTTTCTTCTTCAAACTCGCCCCCCCCCCAATCATTGGTTCTCCACACACTAGACCTATTAGGATTGGCAAGGTAGCCCGGGAAGCCTTCTTTGACAGCATCCACTCCCAAGAAATCGACGTCCGTGGATTCTGGAAACTCTATTTCTGCCTTTGGTTCACTAGCGGGTATAATGAACTTGCTAGGGTTGTATGCCTACATGGATTGGCGTTGCCCTTTTATTACAGTGACTTCAGACATTTCTTCAGTTGGTTCTACTTTTCCAAACAAGAGCTCTACCCATTCCACTTCTGTAAGCCCGGTTTCTCTCTCTGGGAGCACCATTTATTTCAATTCTGCAATCAACTCCTACATTCGAGCCATAAAGACTACCAGGAAATCAAGGTCATACTCTTACGACCCTTGTCAGAGGGCGTTTATTCCTATTTCCTCAAGTGTAGGTACTAGTGGTTTGGGCAAGTTAGCAGAGACAATGAATTGGCTTGGATCAAAGATGGGGATGGTTTGTATGAAGTTGATGCTGGATGAAGGTGTGGCTTTGTCATGGTTGGCGGATATACTTGGTTTTGGGGGTGGTATGATTTGGTTGTCAATGAAGTCCTAGATTTTAAGGTAAAGGTAGGAACAATGGTCAGTTTCATGGCCGACTTTCGTGAAAGGCATAGTAGATTGGCGTTGCCTTTTTATTACAGTGACTTCAGACATTTCTTCAGTTGGTTCTATTTTTCCAAACAAGAGCTCTACCCATTCCACTTCTGTAAGCCCGGTTTCTCTCTCTGGAGCACCATTTATTTCAATTCTGCAATCAACTCCTACATTCGAGCCATAAAGACTACCAGGAAATCAAGGTCATACTCTTACGACCCTTGTCAGAGGGCGTTTATTCCTATTTCCTCAAGTGTAGGTACTAGTGGTTTGGGCAAGTTAGCAGAGACAATGAATTGGCTTGGATCAAAGATGGGGATGGTTTGTATGAAGTTGATGCTGGATGAAGGTGTGGCTTTGTCATGGTTGGCGGATATACTTGGTTTTGGGGGTGGTATGATTTGGTTGTCAATGAAGTCCTAGATTTTAAGGTAAAGGTAGGAACAATGGTCAGTTTCATGGCCGACTTTCGTGAAAGGCATAGTAGAGGGTAAGGTCATAACTAGCTGACAGAGGGTTTGGCAAAGGTTTGGGGTTTCAAATGCCCCTTGTCCTCGAGGATTTGTAGGGCTCTGGATACTGACATGTGGAGTGGATGAAAGGCCCTCTGGGTGGGGTCTTGACACGATCCCTCGTGGAATTGCACAGTCAATGCTCGCATGATTTTGGCTTTCCATCATGCAATATTATCACTGAAGTTCTTTTGCAGTTCAAGAGCAGCGGTAATGCGGCCATATAGGCTTGCAGCTCGTTTTGAATTTGAATCAAAGCATCCATAGTCATGGTCAAAACATCCATAGATGTATGGACCAAATCAACCATTTCCAAGACTTGCATCTTCAAGGCTTCAGGCTTGGGATCTTGATGAGTTCTGAATTTGAGCTTATAAATCTTCCTCTCTAACAACTGGAGTGAGGCAAACATGGGCTTTCCATAAACCATGTCTTGAGTACAAGACAGATGACGGAGTCTAGCCCACTTAGCTTGGGGAACTTCCATTTCTGGGTGCGATGTTTGCAGTAACCCTAAGAATAGATGAACAGACCTAGTCCATTTTGTTTAACACTTACCATTGGACTCTCATAATCATCGTCACCATCAATTAGATGATAGTTGCCTAGTTAAGGAAATTTTGAGGAATTTTAAGGTCCCTACCAGAGTGATCAACTGTAAACAACTGCCTCTCTATTATTTGTTGCTTTTACCAAAAAGGAGCCCCATTTGTATCTTAGAATCATATGATCAAATTACAATGCTTATTGTTTTCAAAAATCATTTTTCAAAGTAAAATCCACTTCTTTTTTTTCAAAAATTTTGACGAGTTTGTATTTTATTCCAAAGAATCAATCAAGCAATCATCCTTTAATCAAATGTCTTGTAGAGGAATCAGAATTTTGTTCAAAATGGAAGACTTGGTTACCACTTCCTTGTCAAACATTCTTTCATAAAATTAAGGTTCTTTTAAAATCGTTGGCCCAAATATTTTTACTTGATGAAAAGAACTTTCCATAATTTCCGAACTCTACTTAAATTTTATTTTTAAAATTTTCCAAGGAAGTTTAGTTTTTTTCAAGAAATCAATCAATCAATCATCTTCTAGTCAAATGCCTCCTAAGGAATTTCAAAATGAAAGACTTGGTCATCACCTCCTTGTCTAACACTTTTCTATACAATCAAAATTCCTTCCAAAGTCCACAACTTAAAGATTTTTGTCTAATCAAGAACTTTTCATAATTTCTAAAATTCTACTAATAATTTTTCAAAAATTTTTCCTTCGAAAGAGTTTTGGATTTTATTCCAAGCATCTAATCAAATAATTGTCTTCTAGTCAAATATCTTTCAAGGGAATTTGAATTTTATTTCAAAATAGAAGACTTGGTCACCACTTCCTTACCTACCATTTCTCATAAAATTTGAAATTCCCTCCAAAGTCAATGGCTTAAAGATTCTTATTCAATCAAATACGTTCCATAATCTCCAAGTATCTATTTAGGTTGGAAATCTTTTTTTTTTAGAAGTTGTCTTTTGATTACATATTTTCTTGAGGATTTAAATTTTGAAAAGGCAATCATTCTTAATTGATCACTAAGGTAGGAATTCAAATTCAAACTCAAATCCATTAATTTGGGAAACCATCCCCTAATTTTCCACAGAATTATAATCAGAATCAAGTCACTCCCCAAATTTTTGTAATTGAATCATTGCCCCCAAATAACTTAGATTGCCCCAGAATCAAATCACTGCCATTTCCAACTCCCTAGATTTTTGGAATGGAATCAAACCATTTCCATTCAAGACAAGATACCATATAAGCACATAATTTGCATTCATGCCTAATTGGAGGTAGGGTTTCCCTATCCTAATTTTGGAAACAAGATCTAAGATTCACTAAATCATACAAAAAGGCAACATTACAATCTTAGAAGGATGGGTATCCTATCCTGGATTGGAAGGTACAAATGCTCTCTATATGCAAAAGGTAGGTTTGGTCACAAAAAGGTACATCAAATATTATTATCAATATACCTCTCATCCCATAAGGAAATGATCAAACAGTACTAATACCATAATCTGACGCTTGCCTTATTGACATAACGTAGCTCATGAATAGTGTCCGGGATATTATGCAACAAGGCAGGTTTCTTTAGTTCTAAAATGATGCAATGCAATTAACAATTAACTACGAATTTCATAAAATAGAAATTTTCAAGTCAAGATTACTTAATTCCCCAGCAGAGTCCCCAACTGTGGGCGTTGTGCCTTTTTTAAGTCTAAGGCATGCATCCCACACCGACTTGCTTTATTAACATATAGTCGCCACTTAATTTTTAAACGGGAATTAAAAAAATCTTTAACAATGAAAACTAAATTAAGGCCTAGCCCATCATAACCATGAACATTCTGAGTTCAGGAGCTTAGGTACAAAAGGGGAAGGCCATTTACCTAGAAGCACTCCCTTTTGCCCAATCCGAAGATTGGCCTCTACTCACTCTCTATTTTATTATTTTAATGGTTAATCATTCATACAATTCATTTTAGACCTAAAACCTTTAACTAACATAAAGCTGGATGATTTGAATAAAAATAAGCATCATTTATTTTAGATTCAACAAATAAGGCCATATATTTCATAAAACGTGATTTTTCATTAAAACTAGCTTTTTGACAACCCGTGGCCTTAAACATAAACTAAAATAAATAATACTCATAAAAAAATCAAACAAATCAACAATTTTGCATACAAAGAGTATATAGACTTGGATTATTGAAAAACAATGCACATAATACCCATATGCCAAGAAAGAAAGGACTTACTTGGTTGCCACTTCACGCGTTTTACATGCAATACATAAATTAAATATGACCTAAATGCAACTAACACATACAAGATATGAACCTAGGCCCGATTTGAGGCTACTAGAATGTTGAATATGCACAAAAGACCAAATAACACATAATGAAAAGCAAAACAATGATATTAGCTATTTACATGATGATTCAAATCAGGCCTAACACATGAGTTCTAGATGATTAAATGATCCAAATCATGTTGTATGTACACAAAGAAAACATGCGAAATAAAGTGAGAAAATGGATAAAATGAAGAACTTACATGATGCTATTATAGACTAACAGCCTAGCATGCTTGAATACCGAAACAAACAAAGAATAAGTACTAAAATATGTAATAATCTGTTTGGGTGACCGCTTGAGTGGTCATTCGGTTGCTCGAGTGGATATGTGAGGCCTCTAGTATCTTGTTAGCTTGCAGGCAGCATCGCTCAAGCGGTAGAATGGTGGCTCGAGCGTAGAAATAGGACTTCTATTATTTTCACTGTAGCTCTAGAAAACTTCTAAGACCCTGAGTTTACTACTCGAGTAGTGGATAGTTAGCTCAAGCGGTCTCTTTGATTTGAGCACTTCGCTCAAGCAATGGAAAGTTCACTCGACCGATCTGTTTGGGACAGCACTCTTAAAAATCAAACCAAACACTTTTTCTCTCACTTTTTCCATATCTCCTCTCTCTGTCCACCTTTTCCAAAACCCTAGTCTCTAAACACTTGATTTCCCTTGATTTCGACCAAGATCCACCTTAAATCTTCAAAAAGGGTTGAAGAACAAGCCTAGATCAAAAGTCCTACCGATTGTTTTCTTATTTCTTAAAGCTTGAACTTGGGTATTTACCTTTTGCCTTTAATCTTGAGGTAGGGGTACTTTTAACTCATTAATTTTGTTCTGATGATTATGTTATGGGTGATGAGAATTGACCTTCAAATGCTTCAAAAGAGAAAAGCCCCAATTTTTCTTAAACCCAAGCTTTCAAATTGACTCAATAAAGGGGAATTGCTTCGATTAGCCTCTTAATCATAAAAACGACTGCATTGATTTGATTTTTTTTACGTTGGAACATGAAATATTGGGAAACTTTTATCACTACGTCTTGAGATGATGATGAGTATGATTTGGGAAATTATCCTAATTGGAAATGTTAAAATTGTTGGATGATTATAAATCAAAACTACCTTAGGGAAATTGAGATTTGTAAATTCATGTGTCATATGCATTCGTTAATTATACCTATGGTTTGGAATGGTGGATGTTTGGAATATGTGGAGAGGGTAAATAGTGTATGAGTTTTGGTAGTCGAGTCAAGTTTTGATAATGGTTTGTGTGTTGTATTTGGTACTTACGCGGGAATCAAGGTGCCCAATTGCCCTGTCTTGTGCATATCGCCGGACGAATGTGGGAAAGGTTTTACAGTGTCAACAAGCCTGCCATTTTTTGAGCTGGCAAATGCGGAGGAATGAGGTCTTGGGTGCCCAACACCCTGCTGTTTCTGGAGTTAGCAAATGTGGAATTGTATTTCTATATATTTATATGTATATATTTTGTACTTATAGTTTATGGCTCTGGTATCTGGACGTCATAGTGTATTCATATCCCATTTATTTTGAAGAGAAATAAATTTGTTATGAACAATGTTTAATTTGATCTACATGGTTTTACAAAGGAACGAACATGGGTGTTCTCATCTATTGTATTGCATGATCATATGTGTCTCAATTAATTATATAATTTGTTAATGGTATTTCCTACTAGGCAATTGTTCACCCCAAAACTAGCAACCTTTCAGGAGATGGTGTTGACACGCTACCGAAGTAATTGACTTTGAGAAGTAAATTTTGGATGGGAGTGCGGAGGCTCCTTTTTTGTTCCATGTGGTGAAGCCTAGGGCTATTTTGTGTGGAGTCACAGCTCCATGCTTTGTGTACTCAAGGAAAATCTTTAAAAAGATGTAAGCCCTTAGGGCATTTTGTTTGTATATTCTCTTGTCTTTTGAACTATTAATCCTTTTGATAATTTGTTTAAATAATGATGTAACCATATAAATAGTTCAAGGAAGAAGAGATGACTTTGGTATATGTAACAGATTATTTAGTGCAATGGATTATCTATATTGGTTATGATATTCATGTATTTATAGTATGTTAAAGTGTGGTGTAATATTCGGACATACAAAATAGGTAAAACGAGAGAGTTTACCTACTGGTTTGCTAAAACCAAAGATTACACCAACAAAAAGTGCGAGAAGACAATAGTTTTCTTGCTTGCAAGCTTCCCTCAGGCTTGGAATCCGATATAGGGTTGAAGTTCTTTACTCCGTAGGAGTTTTTCAAAGGTCTAGAGTTACTGTGAGGGTGTGTATCTCGAAGCTAGGGCAAGAGGAGAAAGGAGTAGTGTTTTGCTCCCAAAAGATTAAAAAGGGTTCAATTAAGGTTGGAAGAAAAAATGGACGTTCTAATTTGAAAAGAATTTTAAAGGAATCAGAATTAAGGTTCTAATCAATCAAACAATCATCCCTTAGCCATTTTGAATAAAATTAAGGTTCTAATCAATCAAACAATCATCCCTTAGCCAAATATCTTATAAAGGAATCAAAATTTTATTTAAAATGGAAGACTTGGTCATCACTTTCTTGTCTAATATTATTTCAACTAGCCATGGTGCGCCTTACATCGATGAAACCCGCGCCTCGCCTTGCGCCTAAGGCCTCAGGAGACCTTGGCGCCTAGGTGCGCTTATCGCTTTTAATAACACTGGTAATTTCTACAACTTGAGGGAGCACTCTGCACTGCTACTACTGCTATTATTGACGAATCCCTTTGCGAGAAAAGAGGTTGTATCTTCCATGGCCGATGGAAATCTTTCATAAATCCATAGAAGAAAATAAATTACATGAGAAATTGCTAGTTAAGTATGCTTCATTTTGTTTTCAGTTTTGGTGTTTTAATAAATAAATAATAATAATAAAAACAATGAAAAGTTCAAAGCAGGCATTGTTTTTCATATTTGCTTTCATTTTTGTGCAAAAATTAAAATTTTGAAAACAATTTATTGGTGTTTCCTCTTAGAAAATTTTCCCTAAAGCTATTTTCAGAAATAATTTGCCAAACAAGTCTTCTATGTTTTCCAGAAATGAAAATAGAACCACGCAGACATGTTTATTTGGTTTTGTTTCCATTTCTCCATTTTTTGTAATTTGTGTTCTTGGGAACAATAACAATGCAAAGCTTGACACAACTATCATCATATCATTTTCATTCACGTGAAACAATTTTTGAAAATTCAAAAACCACCTGTTGATGTTTCTTAAAAGTGGGTTGCTTTCAAAACGTTATCCTCAACATTTTTCTAAAACAATTCTCCAGACGTGTTTTCCAAAAAATGAAAATAGAAAATGAAAACACAACCAAACAAGCAAGGAGAAAAAAACAAAACAAAGAGTTGGGGCTCAAGTGGATACTTACTGGATCACTAGCTGCATTGAACAAATCCAAAAATGCTGTGGATAGTGCAAGAGGTGGCCCCTCTTTCAAAGGAGAACCATCCCTCATCGACAACCTAGCAACTTTCCTCAGTTGCTCACGAGCAAAAGGATTAAAAAGTACAATCTCATCAACCAATGACAACTCATACCTAAAGCCTATTTTCTCCTACAAAATAAAGCAGAACAAAATTAGTTCCACAACATTGAAAACTTTGGGTGAAAAGAACCACAACAAAAATAGGGAAAGGTCATACACACCTCCAAAAAGGTGTGTACCATGTGCCCAATTATAACCAAAAATGGTCTCTGGTTATAAATCAAAGTGGAGTTTGTTATGAATTGAAGTTATGGTGGCGGTTATGAACTAAAGTGGTGGTTTGGTTATGACCCAAAGCGATGTATGACCCAAAATGGTGTTGGTTATTATAACCCCAAATCGTGTTTGGTTAGGAGACAATGTTGTCACTTGTGAGGTAAAGTGGAATTTGGTCGGAGGAGCTAGGGCATTCTAAAATGGGTGCCGTGTCCAACACGTGTTGGACATTGATAAGACGTGGACATGTGTATCCACGTACCATGCCAGTTTTTTAAATTATTATCTTATTGCTAGACATGTTGGGACACTTCATAGACACATATCTGTGTCTGGACATGTCTCCAAACACTGTTGAGTTTATACATTTATTTTATTTTATAATTTTAGAAAGTTTTTTGGGTTTAAAGTAAAATGTGGGAAAAAAAAAACAAACCATGCCTCTCATTTCTTTGTATCCTAAATTTATATTACATATATAGCAAATAAAAACATATAAAAAAATATTTATTATTTCCATATACTGCGGAGTCTGTATCCTAATTTTTTGAATATTGTTGTCTCATATTTGTACCCATGTCATGTCTATGCTTCTTGATGTTAAATTATAAGATAAAGTGGTGTTTTGGTTTCGTTAGGAGACAATGGTATTGTGCCATTTGTTTTGGAAACATGAACACTTTAGATTGTAACGGGGCATGCGGTACACATCTTTTGAGGGTACCAAAGAATTAGCCAGCAACATAATAGCTCCGTCTAGCCACATCCAAAAACACTACTAGTATTGTTTCTATTTATTTACCTGCTGTATAACTTCATTAGAAGCACCATCTCGAGAAGCATGTCCAACAAGATGCGCAAGAAGCCTTCTGTTACCCACATTCGAGGCAAAAATAACAAGAGTGTGTCTGAAATCTACCGTATGTCCATCAACATTACTCAATGTACCTTGATCAAGGACAGAAAGTAAAGCACTGAAGACAGAAATGTGCGCCATCTCAACTTGTGAAAATAGAAGAATGCTGTGTGGCCTCATCCGGACAATTTCTAGGAGTGGAACACCATGTTGGCTATGGCTACTACATCAGAATATCACAAACGAATAAGTCATTCAAGCTAACAAGCAGTAACACAAATCTAAGGACACATAACCAACCACATAAAATAATCTTGGCCATGCACATTAGGTGGTGAGGTCTTCCATTAAAGAGACTGTTCCACTTAGGTTGTGCCAACTGTTTTTCTGTGGCTGGTTCTGTATCCCTAGACTTATTGATGGTAATATAACAAGCAACCTACGATTAACAGCCAAAAATTTAAAAACAACCAAATGGAAGTGTAAAGAGACCATACTGCTGGAAATTTGTGTTAATGTATATAATATGATAGTGGTGTTGGTGAAGGATAGTGGCATGTATAGAATATGATAGTGGTGTTGGTGGTAGATAGTGGCATGTATATAATATGATAGTGGTAGATAGTGGTAATATATAATATGTAAGTGGCATATAATGGGTTATAATGATGTTTGTAATATCTCCTATATAAGGAGTGTCATTTGGTCTTGTAAGATAAGAAGTTTTGAATATAACAGAAATATATTCCTTCTTCCTCATATTTTCGGAGTTCTTCTTCCTCATATTTTCTAAGTTGGTATCAGAGCAACAAAAAACACAGCAGCCCTAAAACCGTCATAGCCATGTCGGAAGTCACGTCCGAAACCACTTCAACCCCTACCGCTACCATTCCGGTGAAAACGTCCAACTCTCACTCTGTCCAAATCACCACCATCCGCCTAAATGGTGATAATTTTCTCCCCTGGTCACAATCTGTCCGGATGTATATCCGTGGGCAAGGAAAGATCGGTTACATCACTGGTGACAAGAAGGCTCCTGCTGTTAATGATCCGCTGTTCGACAGTTGGGACGCTGAAAACTCCATGGTTATGACATGGTTGGTCAATTCCACGGAGGAGGATATAAGCTCTAATTACATGTGCTATACTACTGCACAAGAATTGTGGGATAATGTTAGTCAGATGTATTCTGACCTAGGAAATCAATCTCAAGTTTTCGAATTAACTTTGAAGTTGGGAGAGATTCGTCAAGGAGATGATTCCGTCACCAAATATTTCAATTCATTGAAAAGGTTGTGGCAGGATCTTGACATCTTCAACACATACGAATGGAAATCGGTTGACGACTGCAACCACCACAAGAAAACTGTGGAAGACAGCCGTATTTACAAGTTTCTTGCCGGCCTCAACATTGAGTTCGACGAAGTGCGAGGAAGAATTATTGGCAGACCTCCTCTCCCATCCATTGGCGAAGTATTTGCCGAAGTCAGAAGGGAAGAGAGCCGAAGGAGCGTCATGCTTAAGAAAAAAGGTACTGATGAATCAATTGAAATTTCTGCTTCACTTAGCGATGCTGCGGCCAACAAGGCTGCAAATTACCAGCGCAGGTTTGATGATAAGCCACGGGTCTGGTGTGATTTTTGCAACAAGCCTCGCCATACACGCGAAACGTGTTGGAAGATCCATGGCAAACCTGTCAACTGGAAAAGCAGCAAACAAGGAGAAAAATCGTGGCTTTCCTACCGCTAATGAAGCCGATTCAGGTCCCTTCAACAAAGAGCAGATTGATCAACTCTTAAAGCTGATAAAATCCAACTCCTCATCCGGTACTCCTAGTGTTTTGTTGGCACAAACAGGTAGAAATCCTAAAGCCTTCTCTTGCCTAAACTTCTCTCCGTGGATCATAGATTCCGGTGCCTCCGATCACATGACTAGTTTTTCCCATTTATTTAGTACCTATTTCCCTTGTTCTGGTCATGACAAAATCAGAATAGCCGATGGTAGTTTTTCACCTATTGCAGGAAAAGGATTTATTAAACTAACTGAGAAAATTAATCTCAATGCTGTTCTTCACGTCCCCAACTTAGCCTGTAACCTTTTGTCTGTCAGTAAACTATCTAAGGATTCTAATTGTCGTGTTACATTTTTTGAATCCCATTGTGAATTTCAGGACCAGAACTCGGGGATGATGATTGGGCGTGCTAGGATGCTTGAAGGTCTTTACTACTTTGATGAAGTACCTGTTAGTAATAAAAAAGCTCAGAGCTTTAATAGTACTAGTTCAATCTCTGTTCAAGAAAAAATAATGCTATGGCACTATAGGCTAGGACATCCTAGTTTTCTTTATTTGAAACATTTATTTCCAGAATTATCGCCGGTTTGCATAAAGCGATAGAGACAGATAGTGAGAGAGACAGTTGTAAGAGATCTGGCAACGGTGATGGTGACGACGGTGTATGTGGTGGCAGCCTCACTATGTTTCTAGATGAAGACGAAGAAGATGAGGAGGTAGAGAGTGATGAGAGTGAATCAAAGTAGAGAAAAAAATGATGGAGTGGGGTTTTTCAGAGAGAAAGCCTAGAATTGAGGACGAAGAGAGAGAGAGAGAGAGAGAGAGAGAGTGTGTGTGTGTGTGTGTATGTGTGTGTGTGTGTATGTATGTAGGTTTGGGGAATTAGTTTTGAACAGATAGTGTTTGTATGTTTTATATGTAGAGTGTGTATTTTGGTCATTTCACGGAAGCCGGTCCTTATGAATTGGATGTTTTAACGCGTGGATCTTTAGACAAAAAAAATCTAAATTCAGATTTATCACTTGAGCGTCCTTATAAATATATTTTAAAATGAGAATAGAATTGTATTTTTGAAAGTAATGATTTAAAATTTGAATTCAGCTAATAATTATGGGCAATTTTATTTACATACATTATTTACTCTTTTGCACATTATTTCTTAATGCACATACATTTAAATTTGTTTGTCTTTTGTTTTACCCATTCCATACATCAAATGTTTTAATTATATCCCTAAAATATAATATGTGCACACATCAACACAAAAATCTAACACATTATATACACACACCACACAAAACATAAACTCACACCACACCTCTAAATGTAAACATAAATTATGCCCTACACATGATATTTTTCAACACTAAGTGACAATTCCCCGACGATTGAAGTTCAACAAATGAAGCATCTGCAACACAACATTCTTTGGCATTCTCTAAAGTATAAGATTCTTGAAATCAACAATTTTAGCTATTATTTTACTATTAATCTACAAAAACTAGGTTCATGTATTACTATTTTTGTTATTCTTTCCATATTGGTTGGGGAAGAGAATGAAAACCAATGGAACTGGTTGGTTGAATAAATTTAAAAAATTCGACAATCAATAATCAAATAAAATAATAATTTTTGGATTAATTGTTCTGAATAAAATATAAATTTTCAACATAGAACTACTGAACAAAGGAAAAACATTTGGTTCTATACTTACGAATTAAATTTATATATTTTAATCTATATTTTTGAATCATTTATATAATTTTTGATGCTATAGTTCTGAACTATTTACATATTTTTGGTTATGTATTTCTAAATAAAATGTTAATTCTTTTCATCCTCTCTATTTATATATTCTCAATTTGATGTTTGTATTTTTTTAAAAGAAAATAGATTTTTTTATGTTCAAAAAATGCCTATTGAGAAAATTTAGTTTTAAAGTTTGGTGTTTATTGATGTCCATATTATTCATTTTTTTTAATGGTAAAATTGTAAAAAAAAAAAAAAAAAAAAAAAAAAAAAAAAAAAAAAAAAAAAAAAAATCATTAAGGCCCCAGTTTGAGAAGAGGGTTGGAGGCTAAAATATACAATAAAGATAAAATAGGTTAAAATAGCTAATAAGATAAAAATATCACATCTAAATCATAATCATTTCACTTTTTCTCTCACAGCCATCAAATCAACTATTAAAAAAAAAAAGTCAATTATCTTCTCAAACATAACTTTTTTAGACAGGCTAAAATAGCCAAAAACTCAACTAAAATAGTCAAGTTCCCAAACATGGCCTAAGTGTGTGCACAGAGAGTAAATGGTGTATGAAAATAGAATTATCCAATAATTATATGTCTCCTTAAAAAGTTTAAATTTTCAAAAGGGACTATCAAAATGGCACAAAAGGAGTATTAATTTGGGTTTGGCTTATCTAAAATTGGCCATTTCAACATGAGAGAGTGTTTGAGTTTGGTAGGCCCATTTTGGAATCGTTTTCGGGGTTCCAAACTGTTCATTTTTTCAGACTTGTTAAGTAGAATATTCATGTAAAAAATTAAGATTATCGGACATTAGTAGCTATATGTTTAAATTAAATTTGTATTACAAAAAATGTATAGCTATTCTTAAAATTATATTTATCATTCATTTTTTTAAAAAAATAAATACGATTTAAACATATAGTTACCAATGTTCGATTATTTTAATTTTTTGCATGAATATTCTACTCAACGAGTCTTTAAAAGTGAATGGTTTGAATCATCGAAATCAGTTCTAAAATGCACATACCAAACCCAAACGCTCTCTCAAATTGAGAGACGCCAAACCTTATTAACTTGTAGAAAGTGTGAATATTTTTTAAAACGTGTGAATATTCACGCTAACTTTTGTACTTTTCAAAAATTCACATACAATTATACATATCTATAGTATTATATCGTGGGGTGAATGAGCACTACCACAAAATGCACCTTTGGCGACTAAAAAAAATTTGGTCGCCAAAAGGTCTAGAATTGGCAACCAAAAATTTTTTTAGTTGGCAAAAGTACAATATTTAGCTACTAATTTTTTTTAGTCGGGGTATATTGATTATTGGCGACTAAAAAAAAATTTAGTCGCTAAAAATAAAAGAATTGGCTACAAAAAAAATACTTTAGTCGTCGTATATTGAGTTTTGGCTACTAAAACAATTTAGTCGCCGAATGTAAAATAAAAATTTATTTTTTATCTTTAAAAACATATTTTTAGTGACAAAAAATTATTTTAGTCGCCGTATATTGAGTTTTGGCTACTAAAACAATTTAGTCGCCGAATGTAAAATAAAAAATTATTTTTTATCTTTGGCGATCAAAAAACTAAAATATTTGGAGGGTGACCTTTCAAATTTTGGAGGGATTTATAAAATTAATTGGCAACTAAAAATATTTAGTTGCTAATGGTGTAATATATATATTTATATATTTGGTTTCCAAACCCAAACCAGCGCTTCTCTCTCTCTCTCTCTCTTCAGTGTCTCTCGCTCTCTCCCCATCTACCTCTCCCTTTCTGCTGCTCCTCTCCCCTTCCTTGTGGTCGCGGGCAACCGGAGGACCGATTCACCTCGTTGTTGGTCATCGTCGCTTGAGATCCATCACCCAAGGAAGCTCGATCAGAGGCTCCTCTCTCGCAGCTCCTCGCATTGCAAGGTTTTTATCTTCCTCTCTCTAATCAACTGATATATATATATATATATATATATATATCTCTACTATATATATATAAATATAATCTCTACACTGATTGTGAGATCAATCATTGTTGCTTAAACATATCAATCTGAGCCATTGTTGGTTTTAATTTCTCTGAGAATCGTTTTGATTGCCTATTACATGTTTGCTTATATGCCAAGCTCAAGTTGAAGTTCTCCCTGAAACTACCTACCCAAACTTCCCACAGATATGATTTTGGACATAATCTAGAGTTAGAGTTGGAGGTGGTGGTGATGGGCTCATCTTCTTCCTACTTCTTTGCTTCTTTCAACTTTGAATTTTTTAAATTTTATGTTAGATCGTCTAACTAAGTTTCTATAGATTTGACAGTGGTGGAGTTCATTTTTTTTTTTTTACTTTTTTTATTTTATTTTATGACATTAGAAAGCAGCCAAGACCCAGTTCAATCTGATACTATTTGAACTCTTTCCTAGTTACTTTTGTGGATGAGTTTTCTTCATGTAATTGGGTTTGGCTTGAAGGTTGGCCGCCTAATATTGATGCTATGTTGCTGGCTTTTCTCTGTGATTTCCATGAATTGGTTCATTGATGGTGGAATCATGGAAACCAAGACTGGTTTTCTTGGTGATGGTACAAAGATTTGGGTGAAATTTTGGGAGATGATCTCAGAAATCACGAGTAAGATCCACCATTGATACTACCAGTATATTGGGTCCAAGAGAGTGAGAAAAACATGGTGGAAGAACCTTTTGATCACTTGGATTGTTTTCTAGACCTTAGCGTCTTTGTCTGTGTTCTGGTACATAGCTCCAAAGCTGTGGAGAAGAGGAAAGAAACCTTTGCAAGCATGTGTGATGAGAGAGCTAGAATGTTACAAGATCAATTTAATGTCAGCATGAATCATGTACAAGCTATGTCCATTGTGATTTCAACTTTCCACCATGGAAAAAGGCTATCTGCTATTGATCAGGTACAGTTTGATCTTCCTTCATTTCTATGAAGTTTATGATTAGGGCAAAACTTCGATCAACAAGATCCAATGAATTGGTAAGACTTGTGTTACCTATTTGAAATGCACTAATCTGTCAGCATTTTATTATCCTTCCATAAGTTTCTCTGGCCTGTTCTGTTATTACATTAAGTTAATTAACTCCATGCTTGCCTTTTGGAGTCAAGATTGCTTTTCAAAATGTCCACCACATGCACTGCACATAGATGGAGTCAAAACTGAAATATGTTAAATAGGTTTATTGATGAATGCTAACAAATCTGGTGATTGTTTTGGTTGATTTTTGTTGGATGGATATGGGTATTAGCTCTTTGCCTTTCCAAGGATATCCACCACTTTATACATCACCGTGAAATCAGATTGCTTTCTCATAGTGTAAACTAACCTCCATCTCTTTGTGTTCCATTTGCATATGTTGTTTAGGATACTGTTGAGATAGCCTCTGTTATCCATGCTATCTACAGTAGCTAATTTCTACTAGTTAATTTACATGTTCAATGCAATTATTGGTTGCTTCATCATGTGGTTGTACTAATTATTTTAATAATTATTTATTGATCATAATGAATATAAAAAATCATAAATCACTCTATTGCAAAGCTTGAGAACACCCAAATAATTAAAGATTTCTAATATGCTGCCACATTTCATGATCTCAACAAAATAGGAGTCCCTGTTTGGCTTGGGCTTAAATAAGCTTTTTTTTTTCTCCCCCCTTGTCCTTCGTCCCCCCCTGTAACTGCCCCTTTTAAATGTGGGATGAGACTTCATTTGTTTTCCACCTTTGTTATACCCCACGTTTTTTTTTTTATTATTTTTTAATAGAAGGGTTGTTGATCTTATAGTCCTTTATATTATGAGTTCAAAGTAAGGGTTATTGGATAATAATACATGCATCATTCATTAACTTTGTTTTTGTCTTGCACAATTTTCAATCAAGTTATGAAGAAAAATTATCTTTATGCATATGTTTGTCTGACCTTTACATTTTGAGTAAAGGAAAATAAAATCCAATGTGCTCTATGTTATTTATTGTATATACATAGGCATTTTATGTTGCAGGATCAAGATAGCAATGCTCATATGGCGTATTGGCTATCAAATACTTCTATGTTGTTGTTTTTGCTTCAAAGGACTTTGAAAGCTACTGGTGCGAAACCACTGACTCCAACTTCATTCTTTGGGAGGATGACTCAAGTAACAAAATTCCTATTTACTCATTTATTTATAATTTTATTATGATTTCCTTTTTATGGGATTGCAGAGAAATGATTGCACTATCACAAAAAATGGAGATTTAATTGATAAAATCTTCTATTACATTATGTAAAGTAATTCAATATTTAGCATTTCTATGAAATTTTTCTAAATACAAATGATGTTGATATTTTCTCAGGGATTTCGATCATCCCTTTCTTCTGCCAACCTTTCTTTCTGCGGGCTTGAATTGTACCAGGTTGAGGCCAAATATGTAGCTCTACTTTTCAAGCAGCAGCTCACTACTTATGTGAAGAAGATATATGGAATAGTTCGAGACAATTCGAAGAAGGACTTGTCCTCGCTTCTTTCTTCCTGTATCCAGGTACACTGTCTACCAAAGTTTGATCTTTCAACTGCATGTATCTGGATTCTATTTTTTAGGGTAACCAATCATATGGTTGTTTGAAAGTTAAGCACTTGAACTTGTTCCAAGTTATGAATAATATATTTATTGGTTATAAATTTTTAGGAAATAAATTGTGTTGTTGAATCATTTTCAGTCCTTTGAATTCTTGACATTACATTATAGTTTTGGACATCTTTTTCTCTTTTATTCACCAGATGTATTTTTCCGTGAGCCTGTCAAGGATTAAAGATAATAGATCCTTTGTCAAAAAATCTGGTGAAGATGTTAGCTAGAATGAAGTAGTAACATTAGTTTCAATTTTCTGTTTCAGCTGGTCATGGTTCACATTGTATTACTTGCCATGTAACTAATAATTGTTGTTAATAAATTAGGCTTTGTGAAACCTGTAACGCCCTTAAAAATAAACCCATCATGACATTCATTCATGATAAATAGAAGAGATTTCATATTACAATCATCAGAGTATTCTTACAAAAGGTAATACATGTTGACAACAAAAGTAAATGCCCCATAGGCTTACAACTTTCCAAGTCAACACTTAGTTACAAAAGGGGAGTACTAACTCTACACAAAATAAGCCCTTGGCTTGATACACATGTAATACAAAAATGTAATCTCAAAAGATGTCCCAGCCACTAAACCTCTCAAGCTATGTCCTTGGAGGTGGCATGCTACCTGTACTTGAAAATGATGTCCCATACAGGGTGAGCCAACGCCCAGTAGAGATATGCTAAGCATAATATGAGCAATAACTAAAACATAAGCATTTGACAAATGTTTAACTCATATAAACCAACATACAGTACAATCCAGTTCCATAATCCTTCCCTTAATAAAACTCAACTTATAAACATGGCTCAGAACCTGGCCAAACAACTTAAGCGAGACTACATCTCAAGCCAACAATACTTTAAACTGCCATTTCACGGAAATTGCGTCCGCGGGATTCGGCACCCATGTGTAATTATTTTCTCATGGCCATTTTACGGAAATTTCATCCGCGGGACTCGACACCCATGTATAGATGTTTTCGGATTGCCATTTTACGGAAATTTCATCCGTGGGATTCGGCACCCATGTATAGATATTTTCAATTGCTATTTTACGGAAATTGCGTCCGCGGGATTCGACACCTATGTATAGATATTTTCAATTACCATTTTACGAAAATCGTGTCCGCGGGATTCGGCACCCATGTATAATTATTTTCGAATGGCCATTTTACGAAAATTTCATCCGCGGGATCCGGCACCCATGTATTCAAACACACAACTTGATTAGTTTTAGTTCATCTAATCATCATGCAGTATCTACAACAATCAAGACTATCCTCCACCGATAGCCCAAAACAATTATTTCTAAACAAATAATAAATGCACCAACAGGTAAATTATCAACATTTTCAAAGGTGAGTGATTGATGAATCCAACTCCACCATTCTACCTCATAATGAGCCAATTTCATTATTCCTAACTCAATTTCATAATTCCATAACATTTCCAAATTAATTATATAAATTAATTCATAACAAAAATTAGGGGTTTCTCCATTTTTTCTCAACTTTGATCGCAAGGCTCAAATAACAACAACAACACCAATAATCTCATTTCTAACCCCAAATACACATGTATAGGCATCAAAATACAAAACCCCTCTTTATACATTTTGAAACCCTAACACCCGAAATCACCCAACCTCAACATTAAATCAAAATGACTAAAAGTTTAAGCCAAAGATCATAACAATGAGTAGTTATCCCTACCTCAAATTCGGAGCTCAAAGGAAGAAGATGTAGAAATCTCGAAGTGCTCTAAATCAAGAAATTTTCGGATCGAAAGATAGCCTACACCAAGATCAACACTTTTTACAAAGGTCCAAAGGTGGGAGATCACTAGGGCTAGATGATTTCTTAGAGAGAAGGTGAGGTTTTAGAGAGAGAAGCTCTCTAATGGCGGTTTTCAAAAAGTAAGAGAGAGAAAGGAAATCAAAAAGTGATTTAAAATGGCCCAGCTGTGATCTGATATACGTATGACCCGCTTGAGCGGAGAATAGGACGCTCAAGCGTCAAACACAAAAATTGGACCCGCTCGAGCGCAAGAATACCCGCTCGAGCGTCAAGACACAACTACAAAACACACCCGCTCGAGCGTAAAAGGAAACTCGCTCGAGCGTAGATTATACTCGTCCAGTACTTTTACAAACATTACACACCCGCTTGAGTGCCAAGAGGCCCGCTCGAGCGTGACCCGCTCGAGCGCAAGGAAATCCGCTCAAGCGTGAAAAATGCACCTCAGAAGTTTTGTAGAGGCACAAAATGCTAAAAGTGTGTAAACTCCGCTCGAGCACAAAGGGACCCGCTCGAGCGGACCATCAAAAATCTGGGCAACATGGAATGGGACTAAAGCTCAACCAACCTGTTCGAAACACGCTCAACACAACCCAAGACTCAAATACAAAGAGTAAAGGATGAAAATGAGAATGAAACAACAACACATCCACAGAACCGAGTCCGGAATACAATAAATAAAGAGAGGAAAAACCAGGATAGCTATAAAACCAATTACTATTAATATGGGGATTTTATCATTTATGTCTACTGACAGTTAATCTCACATCCCTTGTTGAAATCAAAATTGCAATTTATCTCTCTTGGGCAGAACGTTTTGTTTTTTACTATTGTTTTTGTTTCGGGATTTTGTTGATTGTTAGGAATTTTAGGTAGCAAGTAAGGAAGCAAGCTTTACATTATAAAGCTAAAAACTGTAGTACATAAAACACTTAGTTTAGAATTACATAGTTTTGTCCTCTTTTTTTTTTGGTAAAAGTTTTAGTATAAAGACATATTGAGTGTGTGGTGTATTGCTCTTGAATCATGAACCTAGGAGGGAGGTTCATTGCTTTGTAACAAATCTTGAAAATCAAGTTTCAATGTTTATGAGTTAAATTTTATGTAGTCTTAGTTTGTTTTAGTTTTTAAATTCAAATGCAGAGGAAGGCGCAAATGTGACGATTGGCTGAATTTATTTTCTTTTGTTGTATGGGTATGCAGGGCTGCTGCAATTCCAAGAGCCAAAGGTATCTTCACTAAAATCTTTATTTTATTTTATTTTAAATAATCCATCTCTGCAATTATTCGTTTACAAAGTTTAGTTTTTTAATTATGTGGTTTAGGGAAACTTGTCCAAGAGGTCACTCCATAGTAATACAGAGAAGTTTGAATTTTAGGCTGAGGTGCCTCGGCTTATGGACATCATTATCAACTCACTTTATAGCAATAAAGATATCTTCTTTAGAGAATATGTTTGGCATGGTAGTGAATATATTTGTGTACGGAGGACATGTTTTGTTCTAATTCTCTGTTTTGTATGGAATAATATTATTATTTTAGGTTGGAATATACTTAATTTGTATGGAATTTGACATTAAAAGTTATTCTTTTTTGGATGGTTGGAAATGAAATGGATGCAAATTGCGGATTGATTCATAATAGATGTATTGTTATATATATATATATATATGATGCAGGTTGCATGGAATACATATATGTTGTGGACAAATTAATTAAAAAATAAAATAAAATCATGTTTTTGGCGACTAAATAATTAGTAGCCAAAAATCAAGTAAATATTTTTAGCAACTAAATAGTTAGTAGCTAAAAATAAAAATAAAATGGAAAAAAACTTTTGGCTACTAAATATTTAGTAGCTAAAATAAAAGCAGACTTTAGGCGACTAAGAATTTAGTAGCTAAAAAAAAAATGAAAAAAATAAAAAAAATAAGATGAAAAAAAAAACCCTTTGGCGACTAAAACTTTGGTTGCCGTAGATACTTCAAGTTTTGGCGACCAAAGTTTTAGTAGCAGAAAATAAAATTTTTGGCGACTAAAATATTATTTTTGGTGACTAAAAATATTAGTTGCCATTTATAGGACTTTTGGCGACTAGAATATTTTTTAATCGCTAATACTTTCCCCGACAACCTTCCTGCGACCAATTCGGCGACCAAAATATTTAGTCGGGAAAATATTTCGGCGACTAAAAACCTTACTTTTCGCGATTAAAAATTTAGTCACGAAAAGTGTAATTTCTTGTAGTGGAAGACGGTTCGTCAAAACCATTTATGAGTGAATGGAAAGTTGACGTCGTTTTCGGGTTTGTGGAATTGGATATTTAAAGATTTAAATGTGGGTTTCTTTGTAAAGCTAGTCCCACATTGAAACTTTAAGAGAGCTTTTGTGGGGATATAAGCTCTTGGTGTACTAACTTGGGTTGAGCCCCAAGGGCATCCCAAGTTTGTAGAAGTAAAAAGTTATGGACAAAGTGAACCTTAGCCCAAACCACCACACGCGCACCGCCGTCTAGCTGGGCTGTGCCGAGTCGGTTCTAACTTTAATTTTTTGGACAAAATTCATTCGAATTTTTTTAAAAAAAAAAAAAAAACTTATGGGAAAGTTAATTCGAATTTAAATTTTTTGTCCAAAATTTGTACATCTTCCATATTCCACTACAGTTGCAAATTTTGAACAGGTTTTTTAAACTGCCGAACAGATTCAAAACTGTCCAAAGTGTTTTTCAATCTATTATATTTCGGACAGATTCAATTTCAAAACTACCCAGGCAATTATAGGTTCAAAACAGCAACTGTATCTGTTCAGTTATAGGTTCAAATCTATCCAGTTTCCAAACTGCATCTGTTCAAAGGTTTTGCACCTATTCAAGTTCAAATACATACCTATTCGGGTCTACAAGTTGCCTATAAACATAGATCCATTTCCAGTAGTCATGGATATCCCAAAAACAGTCTGAAAATTTCCTTTTTCTTGCTGTCCAGATTTTATCTGTTTGCATTTGTTTTATTCTTCATTCTAGTTTTAGAAAAAAAAAAATAAAGAGAGTGTAGAACACAAGGTTCTAGTTCGCCGGACAAATTTGTTTGGAGTGCTGCTACAAATTTGTGAAGATCGTTGTATCCTGGGAGATAGATGCCACATAACCGTAAGCACCGTAGCTGAGCGAATCTGTTTTGAGGATAGAGTGTCACACACTCGACTTGGTTTTTAAATATTCATTCGGTTTAGTAAAAATAAATTCGGTACGTAATTTATTTTTTTTATCGCCTTTGTCGTAGAAAAATGAAGACAAGTTGTTTTTCAAAATAAACCATCTATTTATTTATTTATTTATTTAGAAAAAAAGGATAAAATGAAAAGACTACAATTATTAGATCAACAATTTTTTTTAATATTTTTAATTTTTTTATGTTTTATTTTTTATGAATAATATACAACGAGTGTGGGGATGTATTTTTTGAATACCAACACGTGGCAAGGTGACGCCGACATGTCAGCCGAGGTGCCACGTGTTTTGATTGTGACGCTGAGGTTATCTCGGAAAAGCCGAGGTTATCTCCGAAGATATCGAAATCCGAGATAAATGGATAAGGGGCAAGAGTCCTAGAGCAAAGAGGGAACTTTGCTAAGATAAGGATAAAGCTCTTAGGGAGTT